GTCTGGATGCACACAAGCAGGGAGAAACGAGCGCTGCCTTCTTGCAAATAACTTATACCTGCTTCTCTCCTCAATGAACTTCAAGAGCACACGATAGTGCACGTTAACAGCGCAGCCTCGCTCCCTCTGAACTGCTCAAGCACTCACACCCCAGGTGACCCTGGCCTCCCTTACACCTTGCTCTCACGCACTTCAGTGACGAGCCGGCGAGCAACAGGCCTGCAGGCGGCACCTCGTCCACGCCTGTGCGGGCAGCTCTGCAGACACCCCCCCGCGAGGACTCGGCTGGGCTTTTAAAACACGCCGCGCTGTCACGTGATGCGACAGGGCACTGCATGGTTTTTACCCGCGGGGGGGTGTCCACGTTTCGCGAGTGCAGGCTTTGCAGAAAGTGTCCAAATCGTCACACCTCACCGCTGGAATCGATTTGATCGCGTCTTCAACCCGCCCGCCTCTACCCTGAGCTTCACCTCTGCAGCTTCCGAACAGCAAGACTGCGCTGAACCCCGCAAGGACTTGACTCTCGGCTCTTTATTCCTGTAGTGCATGCGCTACTTCTGAGAGCAAATATATGTACAATCACAGTAGTTACTTACGATAACACTGCCTTTTTTTTGTGGAGACCTGATAAGGAATAATGACGTCTGCACTTTTATTTGCTAAAACATATGACTGAATGATCATGTTTTCGTGGTGCCACAAAAACACCGCCGCTTCTGACAGCAGGCTTACGACGCAATCGAGCGTCGGACATTAATATCACGGTCACAAACACAAATTATATTGTATGCATCTTCTACCTGCACAGAACGATCCACCAGTTACGGAACAAAATGTCTCACATTCGCTCGTACTGTAACATCAGAAATAATCCATCAGAAACCTTTGTGTGGGTTCAGACAAAAGAAATCAGATTTATAGAAGCTACGTTAGAGTCACCTGACCAAAATAACCCTCAACAACCAGGCAGAGCTCGTAATAGCCTATCATAATGATACATAATCAATAAAACCACACATATTAGGAACGAACACATAAAATCTAGCCTTCAATTCTCAAAAAAGAAGCACAATACAGTAGACATAACTCACATGCAGTCTGAAACCCTCCAATCTCCACACGCTCAGCAGACCACTGCCTCGCACCGGCAAAACCACACGCCTTACCCCTTTGCCCCGCCTTTCCCTGGTGGCCATTGGTTCGCTGCAGCAGGAAGTTAACTGTTTCTCGGTGCGGATTGGCTGCACGGGATGTCAGTTTTACGCAAAGGCACAAACCGGTTATTTTCGGCCGCGCGGAGACGCCGAGTGCGGCTGATGCAATTTATCCGTAAGTCGGCTCGTGTGGAAGAGCTGCAGCGCATAGCGCGTACTGCATATCTGTCATTAACCCGGTGTGGCGCCCACGTACTCGGACTTTCAGGGCTTTATACAGCTGAAACACGAGTTTTTAAAAAGGCAGTGTTAATAACCTTCCATTCTAATGTTATGCATGTTCGTTGCATGCACATAGGTCTTGAAACAACAATAGCTTTAAGAAAATAACGCTCAGTATACAGTCTGTTTTTGCTTGTAGTCCTTAACACGCAGGGACACAACATGCAGAAAAAAATAGTGTGGGTACTGATCACGCTCCAAAGAGCTGGACAGCAATACTGCTGGCTTGTCGTGATCTCATCAGATCTCACAACCTCATCAGAGCTGGGCATGGCCAGTACTGGGGTGGGAGCCCTCTGAAGGAAACAGGTTGCTGCTGTAACAGGTGTTGGTACTCCAGCAGGAGGCGATCTTTCACCTGGCTCAAAGTATGCAAACCGATGCCCCAGTATGGTGACTGGCAGCACGGTGCTGTAGGACCCTCACATATGACCTTACACTAAGACTTGGTCATGAAGGATCCCACAATAGGCCTCATAAGAGGGTGTCATCTTGGTGTCCTGTCTAATTTAATCTAGATCAGGGGCATCTTCAATCTGGCCTACCTACTGGTTAAGCAGTGGTCTTATTAGGGTACAGTGGCACAGTAGTTAGCTTTGCTATAGTGTAGTGCTTGGAGCCTGGGTTCCATTCCTGGGTGTGCTTCCTGTGTGGGTTTCCTCCCACAGTCCAAACACAAACTGGCAGCTTGGAAAGTTGGCCCTGGTGCGAGTGTGTCCTGCCTTGTATCCCTTGCTTGCCGGGATTAAAAAATACTTACATATATTAGAATAAAAAACAAAATCTTGTAAATGCCGTCTCTACATTTTATTATCTGCTGCCCTTTCTCGGGAAGTAACGTTGTGACGTCATACGAACACGTTTTGCTCGTCAAAATTACTAACGGCCATGATTTCGAAAAGTCAGTATTTACAACAGAAACTCCTACATCTAGAATAACTTAATATACTGCATGCCGTATCGGCGCGGAAAGGCAATTATATCCGGCGCACATCCCTCTCCTCCAAAACCTTCGTTCGGAGGTCTTTCCGTATCCCATGAACCTCTGCCCGCAGTGTGCAGGAAGTGTAATCTACAAAAGACTATTGCGCACTACTGTCTATGGTATTTCCACACTAGCCATGCCGGTGGATACCAAGCGAGTGAGGGGTCCAGATGAGTCTCAGTCTCCGTTACTTTTCGTCCTCCCGAGCACCGGGAAGCCTGAATGTCCGCAGGAAGGCAGGGAGGACGGGAGGCAGCGGAGCCAGGCCGACGTGCGGCCGGTATTTGCGCGATGCGGACTGATCAGCCAGGCAAAGGGGTCTGCCTACATCGAGGCGGGGAACACGAAGCTGATCTGCTCGGTGTACGGACCACGGGAGACCGACAGGAAGGACGAGGTGGACATGAAGTCTGGCAGGCTGGTGTGTGACTTTCGCTTCGCCCCGTTTTCGTGCCCGAAGAGGGGCTCCTGGATCCAGGGCAGCGAAGAGAAGGCTCTGTCTCTGGGGCTGCTGGAGAGCCTGCTGCCCGCAGCCTGTCTGCACAAGTACCCCCGCTCGCAGATCGAGGTCAACGTGGTGGCGCTGGAGCACGACGGCTCGGTTCTGGCCCACGCCGTCACCTGCGCCTCCCTGGCGCTGGCGGACGCCGGGATCGAGATGTACGACCTGGTCCTGGGCTGCGCGCTGAGGCAGGACGGGCCCTCCTTCCTCATCGACCCCACTTTCGCGGAGGAGAGCGGCGCCCAGTCCGCCGGGTCTGGAGAGAACCAGGGCAGGGTGACTGTGGCTCTGCTGCCCAGCCTCCACCAGGTGTCGGGGCTGCAGTCGGACGGGGAGATGGCGGAGGACACGCTGGTGGGGGCTGTGAAAGCCTGCATCGAGGGGTGCCAGCGCCTGTACCCCGTTATCCAGCAGGCCTTGGCGAGGGCTGTGCGGAGGAAAGCGCCTCCGACAGCCGTCTGAGGGCGAGCTTGCTGGAGCTGCCGCACAGCGAGTGAACTTGAAGACGCGCTTCTGTTTCTGTCGGCGAAGCGTTTCTCAGAGACGAGATATTTATTTTTGTCATATACATCACGGACGATTTGTGCTGTCTGATTTTTCTATTAAACGTTCCTGTGAGTCAGTTCGTTTGCTTTTCCTTTTTCTTTTCCCGTGCGACAAACGCAAAACTGTATTTTGCAAAAACACTGAACACGTAGAAAGTGAGGATCCCTCGAGATCCAGTGACACCGACATCAGGGAATTATTCCCGACTCTGTTTTGTATGGATGTGTGTGTGTGTGTGGGAGTTGGTCCTCCTGAATTGTCCAAAACTATTTTCATTCATAAAAACTTGATCGTTTATTCACAGATACTTGTTTTCCTTTCAAATGGACACCTGACACACTTGAATGAAGCTCTTGAGTAAATCAGAAGTCTGTCTATCAAGAGACCGTTTTGTGTGTGTGCAGTGTGACTGGTTACAGACCCTGATCAACACTAATCTTGGACTCATGAAGGCTATTTTCTGTCAATGAGTCTACAAACTTGTTCACCATGGTCTTTGAAAGCAGAACTCCATGTTCAGTATTTTCTTTTAGATTTCTGAAAATGTTTTGCCAGTGTATACTTACAGGTGTGATTCAGAAATATTTTAGTTACCTCTTGAGTATGTCTGCTCCAATAGCAGTAGTTAAAAGTACCCTCTTGAGACTATAACTAGATTCCAGTGATCAATTTGTTCTAAGGTAGAAGAGGATGGAATATATACCCAAAGAAAGTTGTAGTCAAATATAATATTTTAATGGCTTTTAGTATAAATGATAAAGTTTATAATTCAGTGTATAAACAATTGTCACCTACAGTGATCAGAAGCATTTAAAAGTTATTTTTTACACACCAAAGAAAAGCTTTCAGAGACTTTTTAGAGCCCACATTGAGATGCAAACAATTAATCTGCTCGATTCTGTTCGCTGCGGCAGTTTTATGGTTTTATAGTGTACAGCTGTTAATATCCTCAGGCAAAAAAAGAAGAGTCTTGCAGCCTGTTTCTCTCACTGGGCTTTGGGCCGCACTATGACCTTGGCGAGACCTTTGACATCTTTCAGCTTGTCGGTGTCGAAGTCCACCAGGAGCGTCCGGAGTCCGGGCTTGGAGGGCTTGAAGGAAACCTGCACGGTGAGCGTCTGGCCCGGTCCGATCTCCTCGCTGGAAGACAGAGCCAGGGAGTCAGTCAGGACAGGCGAAGAACTCACCCCAGCACACTCTGTGTAGGGCTAAATGTTTTAACAAGGGTAGGTAGGTGAGGTCCCCTTTTCAGGCTATAAAGGCCCATGGGGGAATAGGGGTACAAGGGCCACCATTTTTCTCAATCATCCAACACTGGAGGTCATTAGCAAAAGAAAAAA